CCGTACGATATGGATAGCGTCGAACCTGGTACGCACTTTTCTTTTCTTTTTTTCAATTTCTGCGCGGGGGAGTTCGACTTATCAAGGCAGTAACAAGGAACCGGCTACGCCATGGACCGTTTGCCAGACCACAAAAGTAAAAAGGAAAAGGAAAACCCAAGAGCCTATCTCAGTGGGTACACCCATGAACTGTTGAAATACAGACCTGTGCTCGAATCCAGATGATGGAACGTGACGAGTAAAACCAACTACTAATGAATTGCTTGGGGCCGGTCGGCTGAATGATAATATCTCAAGGCCGTCCCCCTTTTTAATAAAAAAAAAAAAAAGGAAAAGGAAAGGGTTCCCAGGGTGGCGGGAGTCCTCTGAGAAAATCCAGAATCTCAACATTTTTTATTTTTTATTTTTTTTCTCAACATTTCAAACCGCCAGTACTTGGCCCATACATGGGCCTCGGGGTTGCCCGTTAACACGCCCGAGCTACGGGTGGGCCGGGCAGTGAACGCCCGGGGCCAAGTCCCAATAGCGGCGTTGAGCTACCTCAACGCCTGAATCTGGACGCTTTTGCGGAGATGTGCAGAAATGGTGTTGAATTTCCTGAACTGCACGTCCAGATTCAGGCGTTGAGGTAGCTCAACGCTGCTAGTGGAACTTGGCCAGCGGTCTGAGGACATACTCACACGGGGACCAAAAGTCTCAAAAATTTGAGGCATTTGGTTCGTTTCTTTTTAGGCATTTGGTCCCAGTGTGCTCACACGGGCGGACCTCGTCCAGAAAGGACGAAGTCGCGACCCTGACAATTTGCACTGAGGGCAAGCGCGCCAGGTCACACGGGGGAGGACCAAACAAAAAGATGGAATTTGTTGTTGTTGTTGTTTTTCACGCCAGTATAAGGCATGGCCCTTCACTACAACCTAAATGTTTCTGGTCGCACTCCCAGTTGTTTGGCGGGTTGTCTTCTTCGTCTACGATTTTCTTCAATTCGCGAACGTAAAAATAAAAAATAATAAAAAAAAAAAAAAAAAAAAAAAAAAAAAAAAAAAAAAAAAAAAAAAAAAAA